CTCTTGGGGTGTTTGAGAGAAAGATTTTGCGGAAGATTTACGGTCCTTTACGCGTTGGCGACGGCGAGTACCGCAGACGATGGAACGATGAGCTGTATGAGCTTTACAACGATATGGACATAGTGCAGCGAATTAAAATACAGCGGCTCCGCTGGCTTGGTCATGTCGTTCGAATGGACACCGACGCTCCAGCTCTGAAGGTATTCAACTCGGAACCCGCTGGTGGTAGCAAGATTTTGATTACTCAAAACGATGATTAATCGAGTTACTTGAAATATGATTACTCAAAAAAATAATTTTGCTCGTTAAAAGAGTTTACTTTGGAAAAAGCTTATTTTCTTTTACATTCTGTATATGAAAAAATTTTTCGTTTTAATTTTTGAAAACAGAAACGTTGTTTTCAAAGTGTCAAGGAACTTTAACTACTTTATACATATGTAAAGAGTTGAAATGTTGATTACTCATTTTACTCGAAATGTTGATTAATCATAAAGCAAATTACTCAAATATTTTTGTTTTTGGTTAATCAAAAATCTTGATTACTCGAGTAACTGAACTTTTGAGTAAGCATTATTTCCAATTAATCGAATAATTGAGTTATTTACTTTATGATTAATTAAAATTTTGAGTAATCAATTAATCGCACAGCCCTAATACAGATTAAAGTTTTATGAGTTAGAAACTCGAAAGGATAAAATAGTCAAAGATTCAAAGTACAAATTTTTCATATAATGAAACTAGTTCATAGTTTTTCTCTTTTTACTTGTAATATAAGCATTTCTAAAATAAATACAAGTTATACAAGTGATGAATCCAAGTGAAACAACGGTTGATATGCAACTAAACTTTATTAAAAACTAAACATAAGTAAAAGCTTAAATGTCAAGAGGTTTAACATTACCAATAACAGATGTTATATACTTGTAGTTAGAGTATAACAGAGTATGCATAAAGTATACATACATATGCCCATGTATTAATTCACTGTTAACAATGTTGCCAGATTAAGCTAGTTCTTTAAGAATACCAGCACAGCAATAGTTGAATATATAACATTTATACACCCCCTATTTCCGAAAATCTTCGGCCTCAAAGCGATCCACTGGCTTTCTGTTGCGCTCACTTCTACGAAGTGGTTCAGCTACGGACAATTCTCGAAGTGATGTGCTCGGATCAGCGGCAGCATTAGAGCTGCGTTCAACAACGCGCTCTGCTCCAGACAGCCGTTTTTGTATAGCGACGTCCGGGTATGATTTTGCAAGCGGAAGCTCTTCATATCTTTCTTTCGGAGTGTCCACGACGTACATCATTTTTCCCAGCACTCTGTCGATGTGACCTTTCACCCATTTGGAACCTCGCGAGTAATTTCGAAAGTATACCGGTTGCGAAGGTTTAAACTTTGGGCTGTCGTATTGTTTTGACTCATTTTGTTTATGAGTAATTGGCAACGTTTGCGACAGCAAGGTGCGTACGGTACGACCATGCAATAATTGAACAGGCGTCTTACCTGCAGCATTGGGTACTGAGCGATAAGTCGACAGGTACTTTATTAAAGCAGCGGAAATTGGCAACCCATCTTGTATATTTTTTAACATTGCCGCTTTAAAAGTACGCACAAAACGCTCAGCTAAGCCATTTGAAGCAGGGTGGAAAGGAGCTGATGTGATATGCCTTATGCCATTGCCGGCACAAAATTTTTTGAAGAGATCGGCCGTTAACTGTGGCCCATTGTCGCTGACTAGCGTTTCGCGGAGCCCTTCAATAGCGAATATAGCGGAGAGCGCCATAATGGTGTCAGCTGTCGTCGTGGTTTTCATTTGTGTCACATAGGGGTATTGAGAGTACGCGTCTACGCACACGAGCCACATATAATTGAATATAGGGCCGGCAAAATCAATGTGAACACGCCCCCATGGTCGCGTGGCTACTGGCCAATTACTGTACTCACAAGCTGGGCTAGATGAATTAGTTTTACAACTTTCGCACTCCTTAGCAACGTTTTCGATGTTTTTGTCAATACCGGGCCACCAGCAGTAACTGCGCGCAAGCTGCTTCATCTNCGGAGCCCTTCAATAGCGAATATAGCGGAGAGCGCCATAATGGTGTCAGCTGTCGTCGTGGTTTTCATTTGTGTCACATAGGGGTATTGAGAGTACGCGTCTACGCACACGAGCCACATATAATTGAATATAGGGCCGGCAAAATCAATGTGAACACGCCCCCATGGTCGCGTGGCTACTGGCCAATTACTGTACTCACAAGCTGGGCT